CCATCCTTTCTTCCCCAAGGATCTGGTTCACCAAGCCTAACTGCAGGCAAAGGAAGTAAAGTTGCATTTTTCTTAATTAACTTTTGGGATGTGATTATAAAAGCAAATTCATTGTCATTATAGGAAATAATTAGGTGGTCCTATCTAAGTGAACACTTGGGGTATGTCAGGCCCCGTGCTAAGGAATTCACTCCATTTACTTCATTTTCTCCCCACAACACCCCAGTGAGGTGGGTATTATCATTATTATTTCTAATTTATACCTGAAGAAACTCAGAATCAGAATGGTCAAATAATTCGTTCAAAGTTATGCAGTGGCATAATCGGGGAGCAAAATTCTGTTTGAACATACCCCTTACACTGCATTATTATAAAAGAAGGTCAATGTGTGAAGTCAAGCAAAGGAGGACAAAAGAAGAGCTATAGGTATTAAATGAAGTCTGGGGCACCAGATGTGTGAGGATGTAATTTATCCAGGGAATTTTCCTTAGTGTAAAACTGTCTAGAACGGCACGGCACATCCCAACTCTTCCCAAATGTGCACCTCCCCGACTCCCTCCCACAAGGCCTGTCTTTATTAATACCATGAGAAACACCGAAGCCAACTGATCACCAGCTAAGGCTCTACATGAGCTCCTACACCTTCCTCATCCTCATTTACCCAGATCTAGTATCACCAAGTCCTCTTGCACACAACCATCTGTCCTGTCTGTCCCCTTTCACTCATTAATTCACTAGTTCAGAAATGGACTGAGCAATAACCAGGTGCCAAGGGCCCTGGCAGGCAGCAGGAATATATTAGTGAACAAGCCCGAGGATGCTTCTGGACTCCTTAAGTTCTGCTCCTACCTTTTTCCAGGCCTTTGTCCCCTTTGATCATCTCCCATCTTTAGTCTCACCTGTACAATCCATCCAAGGCCTGTCACTTAGGAGGTGCTCAATGTAGAATGAATCAATGAATCTTCCACACTGACACCATGACCTTTCAGTTTTAATCATGTCCTTCTGAATCTTTTAGAGGTTGCCTATTTTCTCCAATACACAGTCTAAACCTGACATTCATGACTTTTTGTAATCTAGATCATATCAGCCTAAATGGGATGTTCCATTTAAACCAAATTCTTTATCCTTTCCTTAGATATATCATGAATTTTCTCATCCCATGTACTGGCAGAGATTGTTCACCATATCTCTCCTTCCGCTTTTTGTATTTCTTAGTCTTCCTTCCAGACTAGGTGAAGGTTGAATTGATACAGAGCAGCAAGGGGCACTAAAACTGGCCAAAGACATTGCCCAAATATTTTGCTGGTCTGAGTTCTTCACCGCGGCACAATTGCAAGACTACTCAGGTTCAGAGGACAACAATAATGGGATTTATTTAACAAACAAGGGGAAACAGTCACTGAGGCTACAAATGGCCATTTACCTCACCCAAAGCAGTGTCCAGTGTTTTAAAGTTCTACGCAAAAAGGATCCCAAGATGGTGTCTTCCCACTACTGAGGGCATGGAGCATATGGCAGCCAGACAATAGGCAGGATCCAGCTCATGAAGATAGCAGAAGACACAACAGGAGATGCTCACAGAGCTGCCGAGATGCCCCAGCACAGCACCAGAAAATCAACTCTCAAAACAACAACTGCAGCAGTCAAACAACCTGACAAACGGCCACACTCACCCAGCTCAGTTAGGTGCCCACCTCCAGGTCTTTGCCTTCCCTTCCAGGCTATAACAGCAGCAAAGCTGGGAACCATTTCAGTCGTTCAGTTACCAGTAAATCCTCTGAACCCTTCCTCTCTGAGGATGGCTGTCACTTGATGGCCTCCCCATGTCCCCCAGAGGCCCATAACAGCCCTCTGAAAGATTGGCATGGCAGGGACAGAAATGGCAGACTCTAGAATCTCTGAAGATCAAAAAACGCTGAAATCCCAAACACTGAATCCTGGGGCCCGCTTCTGCAGTCCCCTATATTTCTTATCAGAGTCTCCCCCCAATCAATACTCTGTTTGCATTTTCCCTGGGGCTATCTATCCCCACCAACAGCCCCCTCTAGGGAGCCCACCTATGGGGGCAGCCATTTCCCTTGTAACAGTCTTTGGCTTCAGCCACCTGTGACAGAATGACAGAATCTGGCCTGCAGACTCCTCCTATTACGCAGGGTCCCTCAGTGCCTCAAAATCTCAGATGCTGCATAATCAATGAAGTAAGTCACTGAAATATTCCAAGTCTGTATGTCATCACAGCTGAGCCTGTCCTCTCCTGACTAGCCCACACAGCTTACCTGTGCTGTTACTCTGCCTAGACTGGTGATTCCCCTCTTGATCGCTGGTTGAAATGCCTTTCATCCTTCACTTCTGAATGTGACCACCTCTCCCTACTCCCTACTCCTTACTCCCTACTCCCTACTACTATAACCTCGCTTTTAGCCCAGAGCACAGGCCTGCTGACAGGTGGTGTAAGGGCTTGCCTCCCACACTACCAGTGATGTCTAGAGGGAAGGGACTGTGTCTGCTTAATTAGTTTTGTGTCTCCCACAGGACTTAGCCTTGTGATTTGTACTCAAGGGTAGTCAGTGTACAGCTGACATGACATGAATTAGGTAAGAGGAAAAACCATTTACCACCTACTCCTCTTAAAGAATGAGAGAAAAAATTTTGACCCATCCTAACCTGGAGCTACAGTGGTTGGTAGGGGATTAGAGAAAACATCAGGTGAGCAGGACTCTAAGTGATGTATATGATGTATATGTGTAGGGGAGAGGGTTCACAGAATCTGGTCAATGCCATTCCTCCCCCATTTCTGAAGGAAATCTGCAGCTCACGCACAATCTGGGGAGCTATAGAAGAGATTTTCATACTACAGCTTCCAACTGTTTACCTTATGAGTACCATGGCAACAGGGATATTGGTTGCTATGGCAACGTCATTATTAACCATACTAAGCTACTTTGGGCAGGTAGTTTCTGAGAACAAACACAGGCACATCAGAGGCAATGGACACACAAAATCCCTGTTAAAATGATTGATCTCTGCGGTGACTAGTCAGTCACCCAGAGAGCCACCATTTGCCCCTTCCTAACTTTACATGCAGGAGGAGGGCCTTATTTATGGCTAAGCAGAGACAGCGGGGGAAGAGTGTGTGTGTACTTGGGCATTCTTGCCACAAGAGCTCCCATCAGCTCAGTGAAATCCTAATTGGACCCGTTGAACCGGTAGAGTTTTCAAGAATTCTGGCCTCTGGCATACAAGACATATTTTGGAGATTGCAGCAGTAGTGGCCACCCCTTTCCAGGTCCACTTTCTATGATGCCCCCCACTCCCATGAATTCTCATTTAAGGAATATGTGACTCCATGCATATGGTATTGTTCATTTTAATGAATTACAATGGCAGGAAAGGGATGTTGGATTGTTTGTAAAGAAAGTTCGAGTCTAAGCTGCCTACTTGGGGATGGAGCCCACCTATGGGGCAGCCATTTCCCAAGGGTTTGAGGTACCAGGACTTGCTGACCCCAGCTTCACCCCTCTGGAAGATTTGGTGAGGAGGGTCCACCAACGAGCTATCCAGTTTCCTAGCTAGAGCTTGCCCTTCACCCCCAGCAGTTATCCCTGAGTCTGAACAAGCAGATGGCCTTTCCCAGTCACCAGGTCCACAGTCAAGTAGGCCTGTCCTCAGGCTCCAAGTCTGCACTTGCCCCTTTCTTTCTTGGCTATATTCATCATCTAACTGGAGATACCTACCTAAGAGTGACAGAGTTTAAAGGGTCTCAACAGCAGCATAAAGTAGGGCAGTTGTGACTAGGGGAAGACAAGGGGAGAAAAATGAAACAGCCCCTCCATCTTCCCAGTTCTGCAGCTCCAGCTCTAGCCTGGAGTGCAAGGGCAGAGTGACCCAGTCCCTTCTGGGAGGATGGGTATTGGGAGTTGGGATGGGGACTGAGTTGGAGAGAAAAAACGTTAGGCCTGGTAGGGGATTATCTTGTTAGGGGATTGCAAAGGCCCTTCTCTTCACTACCCTAGCACTAATCCAGAGACACCTAGTGGCCAAGATAGTGGATTATGATTTTACCATTAAAAAGAAGAGTAACTCATTGCTCACTCCCGGAAGGATTGCTTCTCAATCCCCCATCTCTTTGGATCCCCTAGGCTGTGCAGGGTCCAGTGGAGTCTGTCTCCTGAGCCCATTCTGCTCAACTTCCTCCAAGCCATGGACACAACTTTCCCATGTGCAATTTCCCCTTGGGCTGCACGCACTCGGGGAGATTCTGCGCTGGTTCTAGACCTGGCGGGTGGGAATTAGGCAACTAGGGAACCCCTCCCCCGGCCCGCACTGTGGAGAGGCACACAGGGCAAGGCATCCGGCAACAAAGGGTCTCCAGTGGGAACCAGTCTAGATCCTTCTGCCTCCTGCCCGATGCCTCAGCCCCACTTGGCCCAACGCGCCTGCTGGACGTGAGTAAAAGGGTATGCAATAGATTTGGAGTATGTGGAGGTCGATTCTGGTTCTTTGGAGAGGGGAAGAGAGAGAGAGAGAGAGAGAGAGAGAGAGAGAGAGAGAGAGAGAGAGAGAGAGAGAGAGAGAGAGAGAGAGAGAGAGAGAGAGAGAGAGAGAGAGAGAGAGAGAGAGAGAGAGAGAGAGAGAGAGAGGAGTGGGAGCAGATATTGGAGCTATCCCTTGCTTCTGCCCTTTTTTCTCGCGCCGCGCAGCAGCTCCTTTCAGCACCTGGGCTTTCGGACAGCGCCGCGCCGCCTGGGCGCTCCCGCACCCGACTCCCGCGCGAGTAGTTCTTTAATCCTCTTTCTGATTGCAGTTTGCGTCCCCAGATCACCTCCCAGCGCCCCCAAGAACTCCCAACTCCAGACCCTAAAATCCTTACCCTGCCAAAGTTTGAGTTTCTCGGTGGCACCCTCTGACTGGCAGAGCTCTCCTCCACGCTCCCTCCGGGTTCTGGGCAGCAGCTCCAGCCTCGCTCCCTCCCGCCCGCTCCCAGCCCCAGGACCCACCTCTGCGGACGGCGGAAGCAGCCTGTTGCCGCCTTTTATCTGGGAACGTCAAGTGAGGCTCTGGAGCCTCCAAGGCGGTTCCGGAAGAGGTAGCAGCCACTGTTCCCATCACTCCTAGGAAGAGGGGGCCATCCAGGAGCAGGAACGTCCGGTCTGTCAACTCTGAACTCTCTCCCAATCGTCGGCGGTCACCTTGGATTCTTTCCTGGAATGTTTTAACAGCGATGGATGAAGATACAAAAGAGGTGTGGGAGGCTGAAGTTTAAAGGTTCGAATCTATATTCCCTCTTAAACTCCTTTGCGATCTTAAGAGGGTTTCAGAAACAATGATCTCTTCGCACTATTGTGTTTTATTTTCGCAGTTTCCCACCCCGCAACCCCGGTCTATCACATCAGGCAACATCAGATTCCCAGAACTAAAAGTTAAGACCTACTAATCCAGCTATTCATTGCCGTCCATTACACCAAAGGAACATCAACTCTTTGGGGGAGAAAATAGGCTTACTTAAGTTTATAGCAGTACTATTTACAATAGCTAAGCTATGGAAACAACCCAAATGCCCAAAAATAGATGACTGGATCAAGAAGATGTGGTACATATATACCATGGAATATTACTCAGCAATCAAAAAAGATAAACTCATGCCATTTGCAGCAACATGGATGGAGCTGGAAGGGATCATGCTCAGCAAAATAAGCCAGAAAGAAAAAGAAAAATACCAGATGGTCTCACTCATAGCAGGAATTTAGAAAACCTAAATAAGGGACCAGGAAGAAGACTAATTATAATAAAGTAAAAATCAAAATCAACAAGCAACTATAAACCAGAGACACACTGGGGGGGCGGGGGGGGCGGGAGGGATTAGGGTCAAAATAAGGGGGTGGGAGTTGTATGGGGGAATATAACCAAGATGAAAATGCATACATTGTGCAAAAATGAAAAATGATGTAAAAATATATAAAATAAAAATTTTAAAATGTGAATATGGTCAGAAAAAAAGCCTCCACATTTTTTGAAACTCACTTTTCCCACAGAGGGTACATGTCTACAGACATAAATTTTCCATAAGAGTGAAGATTAATCTCACCTCCCCCCACTTTGGTTCTGCAGTAGCAGATCCCAGGAGAACTTCAACCTTCTTGTCTGGGACAAGGCCTTGGGGCCTCTTGGATTCCAAGTTTCCATGTCTGACACCCTTATGGGAAGAAATTCTGCAGGAGCTGCTCTCACAGCATCCTGAAAAGCAGATGCTTCTTTGAGAACTTAGACCTTGCAGCATTTCCTGAACAGAACTGTCACACAGTCTACTCATGGAGTAGATTTCTTTCAGAAGACTTAACTCTTTGTACTCGTGTAACACTTGAAGGGAGAGATGAAGTGGATGCTAGTCACTGGAGAGATCATTAGAATGTCACACACACACACTCATACACAAACACACTCACTTTAAAGAAGAAGGGCAAAACCTAGAAATATTTTCCTGAAGAAAAGTCAGGCATAATTGTTCACATTCAAGGAATTCTGGTAGTTGGAAAGTGAGCAGATGGAAGAGGCAAATCAACAAAACAAAGTAGTAGTCACAAAAATTGGAGGACAGTTTTTGCTATATTATTTGGATTTCTAGTAGAAACTTAAAGTGAATTTAAGATGAAAGAAATATAATTCATTAGGTTATGCCTCACAAAGACTTTGTATCCTTAATCCAGAGAATCTCCAACATGTATCAGTTACCCTATGCATTTTTTTTTTTCTTTTTGCAACCCTCATTGTTGGGAAATGCTTATTTCTTCTAATCTCTGTAATTTATGCTACATGGTAAAGCTGTTTCCTCTTAGCTTGTCCTCAGGGAAGACTGAAAGCAGATGGTTATCCTCTGTTCTCCAGAAGTATTCCAGAGCTTCAAAAGAATCTTAAACGCTGATTTTGGAGAAAGTGTAAATTATTATAGATAATTTTAAGGCATAATCTTGAAAAGTAAAAAAATCCCTTTGCCTTTGCTTTTGAAATGCACACCATATCTAAGATCTGGGAGGATCTTAGGATCTTAGGGGGGAGAAACAAAACCTTCCAGAATTAACCATGAATTGGAGAAGTGTAATGAGTCTGATGAAATGAGACAGATTATGCAGTACAAGATTCAACTCATGATTGGCCTTTGGAAATTGATGTGTGTGGCAATAATTGTCACCCTAGAACTTTGATTATCTGAAAGTTAGAAACAGATAAATTAAGATTAGAAATCATCAAAAAGAATCTGGGGGGTATATAATTATGGATTTACCTGCAAAGGCATTCTGCAGCAAGTTTGGGCTGTCATGAAAGGGCCAAAGTCCCACTGAGTGAGGTGGTCTCTGGGGACCTACTTTAATGCTCAAACTTCATCTGAGTTACAACCAGGTGGTTGTGGCAAAATCAGAAGGGATCACAAACTGTTGTCAAGATGTAGGATATAATATGCACCAGGCAATCCCAGATGAGTTAGTGGGATGTCCTCATAGATCTATGCACCAAGAGATCCAGGGGTATTGGCAGAAAACCAAAGTGTGAGACCACAGGGAGACAAGAACTGCAGAGAAGCAGCACTTCCTCATTGTATGGGCCAGGTGAGATTAGTGTTTATGTGTGGGGACCGCATAAATTTTAGATTGCTTTTGCCTTCATCTGGACTCACTAAAGAAATGACAAGGGGTCTGCAAGGAAATAGGGGCACCTATTAAGCGATGAGGAAGATTGGACCAAGGGAAACTAGAGAGACCAGCTCTACCCATTGGTGGTTGCAGAGACAGAGAAATACTGAATATTAGCAATGCCCAGGGGGATTGAATCCCAATGTGACCACATATAGATGTGTCTTAGGGAACCCCTGGTGATATTTAGTTTTGTTTTTAAATTTAGAAAAAGTGCATTTAGTCTTCTAGGATTTATTTTTTAAAAAATCAATATTAAGATTCAGTGATGAAGTTTATAGCTATAGTTCTTTCAGTTTCACTTTTTAAATATACAATTTGCTATTTATTCTGGGTGCATATTATATTTTGCTTTAAAAAACTGGAGAGAGAACTAAATTTTTGCTGTTCTAGTTATGTGAATCAAATGTACTGAGGAGCTGATATTTACAGGTTAGGATTGAAAGGCACATCATTTGTGTCTGTAGGTGGGCAACAGGACAGTCACTTCTGCTGGGGCCATATGGTGCCCACTGTGTTAAAGAACACATAATCTGATAAGGAGATGAGCTGAACTAGCAGATGATAAACAGAAATGCAAACAGATAAGCTGAGTAAGGCTCAGTAAGGGAGGGGGGAGAGCTTCTTCTCGCAGATGGTCTAGATCCTTGACAAATGATAAGGCAATTTGTAGGAATGACTCTTGGAAGATAATATATTTATGCAGAGGTAAGCAAGGTTCACATGTGAAGCAATGACCAATTAACTTCTCCAGCAGGAATTCTTAGTGTGAAGTTATCTGGGGGAAAAAGGCCTTGAGGTGAATAGAAGCAGTTGTTCTAGTTTTCTTTTTCTATTTTTTTTAAGGCTCACTTTGCCTGCTTCCTTCTCAGCAATGAAGGTAGCTTATTTCCCTCACCTACCTGGCAGTTGGAAGAACAGAAGAAAATAAAATAAAATTAATGAGATTTTAAAAGTTATATATTTTATCCAAATATCATTAAGAGCTCAGAGAGGACTGTGGTGCCATGGTTGAAACTCTCCTCCACTGGAGACTCCCCCCACAACACTTTTCAGGTTAGCTTTGCAGACAGTGCACTGGCCTGTCTGAAAGTCTCTAACCCCACCGTCAGCCTTCCCACTCCATCCAAACCTCCATCCACAATCTGACCATCAATGCCTAATATTCTACCATCAGAATTTCATCCTCTGTCTTCAAATTCTGATCACCTTTAAAATGTGAATAATTGCAAGAGATATGTACTTAGAGAGTCAAATAAATTCTGGTAAGCAACACTGAGAACGCTTGATGAAGTAGAGGCCAGAGAAGGTGGAATGGTGTGGACCCCAAGGCAGTAGTTTCAGAGAGGGAAAAGGCCCAGGGGTCAGATTCTGAAACAGAGGGGACACTTGGCCCCTATCATAGCTGAGCCTGGTGTTACTCCTCTTCTTCATAAAGATAACTGTATGCTTACCTCCTGGGTCCATATTTCCACTTCTAGGCATTTTCCAAAGAGATTAATATATGTAGTCAAAAGGGTTTGTATGTGTATGTTCATAGAGACTTGTATGTAATAGCCCCAAATGGGAAATAACCCCAAATGTCAATCAATAGATGATGGATAACAAGATCACGATTTGTTCAAACATGGACTATCAGTCAGCAATGAGGAGGGATGATTGATATGTGCAATAGTATGGCTCATTCTCAACCATGTTGAGGAAAATAATAGACATGTGAGAACACACAGTATGATTCTACATAATGAAGTCTTACAATGGGTTAGATTGACCCACTTTACAGAAAAATAAGAACACTGGGTAAAAGGTAGAAGGAAATAATTTGGACAATTTTTGGAGTCCTTGTGGGACTGGACATGAAGGAGGCATTCTGCAGTGAAGGAGACAGCTCTATATCTGAATTGAGGTGCTGTTTTCATGGGTGTCTGTGATTGTCAAGTCATGAACCATGCACTTAAGATCTATGTGTTTCATTACATGTAAATTATACCTCATTAAAACTATATTGAAAAATCAGTGATCACTACAAGGGGCCCTGATGCCTCTTAAGAGTGATGAGACGGTCCCAGGCATCAGCCCAAACCTTCCATGGGCTTAGCTAATGGAGTAAGAGTTTCCAGGGAAAGTAATTCAGACCCTTTGAAAAGACTTCATACAATTAGTTATTCACAAGATCTGGGTAACATTTAAATCATGCAAATGGAGCCTGCTTATTTGTGGCTGGATACAGAATCTGAGTGACACAGAGCAATGAAAAATACACTTTAGAGGAAATAAGGGTCTGTGAACTGTGGCTTTTGAATTTTCTTCTCTATTCAATTCTACCAAGTAGATATATAAAGGAAACTCTTCTTCTGCTTCTCTAACCCTCCCTCGCCTGCCTCCTTTCTTCCATGCTATCCACTTTTTTCCCTTTCAGTCATTATCTTTTCTTTGTCCTTTCTCTCCTGTCCCCATTTCTCTTTTCCGTTCTACTCCCTTCCTGCCCTGGTGTCCACCTGGCATTTGGGG